TTATTTGCTGTATTTCTGTCCCATCGGTTTGTATTCTTAATGATGAGGGCGGCCTTCAATAATATCGTCACACCTGACATTTACGGACAGCCTGACACTTACAGGCAGTTCATCATCATATAACCCCACATTTTATAGGTAGTTCGTCACCATACAGCATTCACAGGTAGTTCGTCACCGTGTAGTACTTACATATAGTTTTCGCCACCATGTGGCATTTTATAAACATCTCGCCACCAAGCAGTTCGCCAACTAGGCAGTTTGCCACTTACGGGTAGTTCGCCTCCTATTCAAATCGACCACCGTGTCACAACCCCGAGGAGCTCACCAGCATACCCCATATTTTACAGGATTGTAACTTGCAACGTGTCACAACCCCGAGTCAGGCGGAAATGGGCAACCTTACCGGTTGGTGGCTTTATCCCAAGCTAACACGAAAGCAGGTCCCATCACAGCGGGAATCCAGGAACTACTCCACCAAACCCACGAGAACTCCAGTATATAAAGGCCTCACCCCCTAGGGGCGAGGGAGGATGGTAATCCCTGCTCTCTATCTCTCCCATTCTCTAATATCATTTTCAGCTCGCTACTAAGTGCTAACTTATCCAGTAGAGTGACCTCACCGGGTAAACAACCCCGGGTTCTCTGATACAGTTCGTGTAGGTCCCTCAGTTCCCGCCGTCTACAGAGATGGGCATATCATCTCCAGCAGGAAGTAGCCGATTCAGTTCCCGTCATTACTGGTAGTCAGATCACCTTCTATAGAGAGCAGCTGGGTTGCGCTACGCTAGGGAGCTCCACTTCAGCCCCTAAGTCACAAGCCACTTGGGAGCAGACGAGCTGACGAGGTACTTAGCCAAAAAATGATACGTGACCAGAAACCGTCACATCAATTGGCGCTGTCTGTGGGAACACACTACAAAAAGCTAAGTTCTCATCTTACAAAGAGTTGAGTTCTCATCCTGCAAAAAGCTAAGTCCTCACTCTTTAGAAACTGAAGCTCTCGCTTTATAGTTTCCATTTTTTATGAACTCAAAGACTATGCAGGGAGCTAATAGACTAAGTAGCTCTCACGGCCTGGTAGCCTGGCACACGCATCGACCTGGCGTGACCCGGTGCCGCTTACGCGTGGCCCTGGCGGTCCAGCACTTGGTCAGCCCAACACCTCACAGGCAGCTTGACACCTGGTCAACCCAGCACCTCACAGGCAGCTCAGCACTTCACAAGACCCAATCGCCTCTTCGACATGGGCAAAGTTTAGGAGTGGACTATGAGTCGCTCCCAAAGCCTAAGGGCCACAATATTGCTCAAGACCCAGTCGCCTCTTCGGCATGGGCAAAGTTCAAAAGTGGACTATGAGTCGCTCTCAAAGCCTAAGGGTCATAATACTGCTTAAGACCCAGTCGCCTATTCGGCATGGGCAAAGTTCAGGAGTGGACTATGAGTCGCTCCCAAAGCCTAAGGGCCACAAAACTGCTTAAGACCCGATCGCCTCTTCGACATGGACAAAATCAACAAGAGTGGACTGCGAGTTGCTCCCAGAGCCTAAGAAACTAAATTAACGCTTACGAGCTCGTCGAATTACGGGCCAAAAGGAGAAATCTACTCCCTTCTTACAGGTAGCTCACCACAGGCAGCTCGCCACAGGTAGCTCACCACAGGCAGCTCGCCATCATGTAGCCCGACACTTTACAGGAAGCTCGCCACCATGCAGCACTCACAGGCAGCTCACCACTAGGTAGCTTACCACCATGCAACACTTACAGGCAGCTTGCCACTAGGCAGCTCGCCACCAGGAAACTCGCCACTTACGGGCAGCTCACCTCCTAGTCAGACCGACCACCGTGTGACAACCCCGAGGAGCTCACCACCATACCCCACATTTTACGAGATTGTGACTTGTAATGACTATATTAGCTCACCCACTCCCTGAGTTAGGCGGAAATGGGCAACCTTACTGGTTGGTGGCTTTGTCCCCACCTAACACGAAAGCAGGTCCCATCACATTGGGAATCCAGGAATTGCTCCACCAAACCCATGAGGACTCTAGTATATAAAGGCCTCACCCCCCAAGGGCGAAGGAGGATGGTAACCCCTGCTCTCTAGCTCTCCCATTCTCTAATATCATTTTCAGCTCACTACTAAGTGCTGACTTAGCCATCGGAGTGACCTCGCCGGGTAAACACCCCCGGTTCCCTGATTCAGTTCGTGCAGGTCCCTCAGTTCCCGCCGTCTAAAGAGATGAGCAGATCATCTCCAACAGGAAGTAGCCGGTTCAGTTCCCATCGTTGCTAGTAGCCAAATCACCTCCTGCAGGGGAGCAACTGGGTTGCACTACGCTAGGGAGCTCCACTTCAGCCCCTGAGTCACAGGCCACTTGGGAGCAGACGAGGTACTTGGCCAAAAAATGATATGTGATCAGAAATCCTCACATCAGTTACAATTTCTTACACTCGTATCCATACCTATTTCCAATTGGGTTATTATTTATTAAATAGTAATTTATATATACTTTACCAAATTACAGAAGAAAGCCAATCAAATTGCAAGAAAAAAAAAAGATGGATTTTAGCCTTTTAGGTGCGTGACCTACTCTTAATGCTTCCCCAAATAACTTGCTCGATTACTGTACGTTGCCAGGTGTTAATGGACTGGCTTTGGGTCGGACCTGTTCTAGATTATAATCAATTTGACGGATTGGATAGACCAATAAGACATATTAAGAATCAGATTTAGTGGTCCACTGTATTTATTGGATTGGATTGGAACCAATCTAAGGGCCCGTTTGGTGTGTGTATGTATGTATGTATGTATGTATCTTGTTTTTTTTTAATGGGTTATCGGTTTTTTAGAAGCTCGGAAACTAGCATTTTGGTTTTTTCTCATTTGGTTGATAAAAGATCTAATCGCCAATAGCTACAACCCTATAAAGATGTGCGAAGCCCATTTGGGCTATTTTTGGAAAGCTCCAAATGGAACTTTTCGCTTTTTTTTTTTCAACTCGTCTTCACACGGAAAAACACACCTGAAGCAAACGGTTTTCAAATTATTAAGATTTTGATGTAAAAGTTCATATTTTCTTTTGATTGTTGGAACTTCTAAAAAGTCTTTCAAAAAAATTTAGCAAACGGCCCCTAAATTAAAACAAATTTGAACAGATTGGACATTGTATTAAAGCAGCCCAAAATGATCCAAAATATTCATTCAATTGGATTGGACCAGATCCATTTGTAATAGACTTACATGGGATAGAATCGGATTGGACTAAATCCAGTCCAATTGACACCCCTAAGCAAATTTAGCGTTTTGGATCAAGAATTGCTGAATTGGCATATGGAAACGAGAACTCCGGATCCTCTACAACTACAATACGGTAACCGTAGGATAGTAATTATGGTGTAATAACGATTATGGAATTTTTTGGGGGGTTTTTATAGTTCAGTCCACCTTAGAAATTTGACCCTCACCGTATAAGTCAGATGAATCCTGCCCATGAATTGATGCCAAATTCACGGACAGGATATAATTTATAGGGAGGCTAGTGATAAGCTGCAATTTCAGATTTTTGATATGGATTGCTGTCCACGTATCCTTTTTTTTTAGCTGGTAACGACTATGGAGTTATTTTTTTTTGGTAGAACGAGTGTGGAGTTAGGAGACTAGTCCGAATTGCGTACACGGATTAGTCTTTATTGGTTGTATTCCCTAATCCGGACTCCGTGTTAGTTGTATTACGTACACGTAATGCTTTACGAATTACGACTCGGTCTTTGTTCATGTTGAACATGTTTTGCCGGCCCCAACTCTTTAACTGGCTTCAGTGAAGCTGTTTCTTCTAAAATCAGACGAAAGGTCGCAACCAATGAACAGTTGACTAGCCCTCCAGGTGCTGTTATTCATCTTATGATTCTTATCTTCAACAAACAAACTTACCAACTATAAAAATACAATAATTTTTTATGAAAAAAATACCAAGTCGATCGAGTATACATTTTTCCAAGTGAACTCACACTTTCTCCCACCCGGCCCAATGTAGTCCACATTTTGTAATCGGTTATTATAGTTCTCTATTTCTATCAACTCGCAGTGAAGCTTCGCATAAAAGAAAAAGAAAAGAAGAAGAAGGAAAAAAAAAAATCTCCAAACGGGTGTACGTGCACTCGTGTAGTAAACATAGTATCATCATGATGTCCACACCCCACTCAACCGCACATTTGATGAGATGGTGTCCCAGAGAGACCAGAGTATTCTCTCTGGTGGGGTGGGACCCAAACATGTAGATCTGGTAGGATGAATTGTACATCTAGAAAGTGTAATTTCTTTCTAGTTTCTCCCCATGTGCTAATGTGAAAACACGAAGATGACACTCACGGACTAGACCGCGTGGACGCTTGGACTTCCCCTCGCTTCGCTGCTTCATCCTGTAATTGTCGTTTTTTTTTTATTTATAGATGGAGGAAGATTAAATAGATAGATAGAGATGGGAGCGAGCAAAATAACGTGTGATCCACGTTTCAATCCCTTTCATCCAGATCATCGACTCACCTGGCCTCTCCCCTGTTTCCTTCATCACTTTTGCTTTCATACTTGTAACTAAAATCTTCTATAAGTAAATGAAAGAAAGTATGAAACTTCTAGGAAATCCTCACTCGGGCTCACCACTCACGACTCGGACTCGTTCGCTCTTCGTTGGCTGGAAGTTGGAACGTTGGGCTTCCTCACTCTCATCTCATCACCTATACCGTCACGCTTACGTGTTATTTATACGACGGCCGCATATACAAGGTTGAAGTGGGACTAACCGACTAGACTAGAAGACTATTAGTATTAGAAGAGCAGCACCCGTTTTGATTTGAATTTACTACGCATATACGCAGCACCTTTCTTAACGCGTACGAAACGAAGGGTATTTTGGTCTTTGTGCATGATTAGGTGGTCGATTAGATTTTAAGTCGTACTCGGCAGCTTAAACCTATAAATAGAGAGGCCTAAGCGTCCCAAGTTTCATTCCTTACTTGTCATCAAAGCGCACAAACAAAGCAGACCAGAGAGACACAACTTTGTTCAATTGAACCAGAAGAAGAAGATCTTCAGATAAAAGTCAGAGAGAGAGAGATCGATCAGAGCTCCTCCCTCCTTGTAGTCTTGTATGTTGAACGAGCAAGCCATGAAGAGAAGCAGAGTAGAAGGCGAGATTGATAACATCACCATGGCGAATTGTTTGATGCTGCTATCCCGCGGAGGGGAGGCCGACTCCATGGCCCCTCATCGTGTGTTCGAGTGCAAGACCTGCAACCGGAAATTCCCGTCGTTCCAAGCGCTGGGAGGGCACCGAGCAAGCCACAAGAAGCCCCGATTGATGGGCGCGGATGACCCGAATCATCAGGCGCAGTTGCACAACTTACAGGTGAAGCCCAAGACACACGAGTGCTCCATATGCGGTCTGGAGTTCGCCATCGGTCAGGCCTTGGGTGGACACATGAGGAGGCACAGGTCCGCGCTGAGCGAAGGCTTACTGTCACCACCTCCACCACCGCCAGCCCCACAAGTGCCAGCTGTTTTAAAGAGATCCAGCAGTAGCAGGAGGGTTTTGTGTTTGGATTTGAATTTGACGCCTTTGGAGAATGATTTGGATTTGCAGCTTGGAAGGAAGATGCCTCCTGTTGTCGATTGCTTTATCTGATATACAAACATTATCATACCATATGGCTTTCTCTTCCTTCTCCCCTCATTCCATGTATTTAGATTTTTTGGGGATCTCTTTTTTTTTCTCTTTTGAATTTGATTTATACAGTTAATTGCGAGGCATAGGAGATTGCTGTTATTATAGGTACTTTGTGCGTATCGGAATTTTATTCATTTATTTATTTGTTTATTTTCAGAAAAGAAAAGAAAAGAAATCTCCGTTCACGTCCAATCTCAAATCCAGTCCAGTCTAGTCCATTCCATTATCTATGACGAGAATTCGAAAGACATTAATTAGACGAAAATCTTATCTGTTTCTGTTTGAATTCCTTAATATTAATGGCAGTCGCCAGAGGGATTGTAAGTTGAAGTTCCAATGCCATCCGGCTCTGGTCGAAGACGAGAAAGCATGCCATTCTTATCATTGCAAAGAAGATTCGTGTATAATTATAAATCAAGTTGATGGCAAGACATTCTATTGGTAATCTTTTTTTGGTGGAAAAATTACAAACTAGGAAACAACAGAACGCCACAACCACTGCAAAGAGAAAACTAATTAAAAAGAAAGCGCCTAACAACCAACTACAGAAATATAGAAACTTCCTCTTCTCTTTCTGACCTGTGAATCGAAAGATCAGACTTCAATAGAGGGAGCATCCAGTCTGGCGGGACTGCCCAGAATTCTTCATCACTAAACTTACCTTTAGCAGCCAAAGAATGTGCTGCCTGCACTAACAGAACCACGACTTACACTAATCACCTTAACAATCACTCCTGAAATGGCATACAGATCATACAGCGAAGGCCAAACAACAGGATCACAATCAAAAGACCTCTGAGAGAGAGAGAGAGTTTTTACAACATTAATTAGTTGAGTCACAAATTTGTAAACCAAGTCTTCTATTGGTATTAAGGATGGTCATGAATTTTAGTAGTTTGGTTTGGGTAAGCTCTCGGGAATATTACTACTCACGACAAACGTGGAAAGTGTTGCAGAGTCGGATAGACAAATTAAAAAGGCATTCGTGGACCCTACGCTATAGTCTATAGATATCTTGATGTCGAAGGACTCACAAGTCACAAATACGTACGTAAACGTAGTGGGCACGTGTTCGTAAGAAAAAGTCGGAGAGGTGTTGTTGGTCCATTTTCTCCGCCCGTTGTGGTGACGTTAGTCCAAGTGAGGAACCCAACCCAACCTTTGAAGGGGTTAGGGTTTTATGAGCTGGAATAAGTAGAATCCCACGATCCAAATTGCAGGTGGCAAGTGGCAAACGTCTTTCACTCATTGTCATTGTATTTGTATTGTATGTAGTTGGAAAAGACACTAACGCCGTTTGGGTCGAATCGAGCCGCCCAACATGGAGAAGTTTAAGTGTGTAACAATAGATCCCCAGCAAAACCCTAATCCAAGTGTCTTTTTTCTAATCCTAATACTAGTAAGATTCTATACGCCACACACATGACATATTGGCATATCCGTTAACTGCTTTAATTTACATGTGCCGTCTGCCGTGGTGGTTTAATTTGATAATTAATGGATAGGTTCAAAAAAGAACACCCGGAGTAATTTTTATAATATTTTTTTTAAGAATAGGGTTGAGTCGAATAAATTGCAACTGGTTGGTTGGTAGGAGAATTTAATAAGTGAAAAATGAGGATATTGAGTTGGAACTGTGAGGGTCTAAGTTTGGGACAGATTGATTGTGTGTTTCTAATGGAGACAAAAAAACTCCGTTCTGACTTGTAAGTTTTTAAGGATTGAAACTGTTAGGCTGAGTGGGGGGGGGGGNGGGGGGGTTAGCTCGGAAATTGAGGCGAAGGTTTATTATGCTAATAGAAATTTGATACATGTCTTCTTTACTAATCAAAAAAGCAAAGATTGGCATTGTAGTAGCTTCATTTACGGTGAACCCAACAAAGCTAAAAGAAAAATCCTTTTGCAAATGTGGAAGGATTTGGCTAATTTGGTTAATGGGCCATGGATTTGCATGGGTGATTTGAACTTAATTCTACGCATCTCTGAAAAGGAGGGAGTAAGACTTATAGTGAGGTGTTTCTAGAAATTTGTGGGCTTCAGGAAATCCCAAGTGCTGGTCCTTTCTTCACCTAGACAAATAAATGGGGAGGGATTAACTTAATTAGAGCAAAACTGGATAGGGTGGTCTGCAATGAATAGTGGCTGGCTCTTTTTAACAATATTCAGGCAAGGGTCCAATTTTCCCTAGGATTTGACCACCTTCCAATCCTTCTAGACACCCAGTTCAAGAGAACTGGAAAAAGGAAGCCTTTCAGGTTTGGAGAGATGTGGATAGATCATGATGACTTTTAGGATCTCTTGGAGAAATCTTGGAGGCCAGTGAGTAAGGGGTCAAGTCAAATCAAATTAGGGATCAAGTGTAGGGAGCTGAAGGAAACTCTAAGGCTTTGGAGTAAGAGTAGCTTTGAAAATGTCTAACAAAGGATTTCGGAATTAAAAGCTAAGCTAAGTAAGGAATCAAGTAAGGCTGGGATGAATTATAACCCAAGCAAAGTAAGGGATTTGGAGTCAGAGTTAAACATTTGGCTCAAGAGGGAAGAAATGATGTGGCAATAGAAATTGAGAGTGAATTGGTTGCAGTTTGGAGATAGAAACACTAAGTTCTTCCACTTATTAGCAAAGGGAAGGAGTAGTCGAAACAGAATTTTGTATCTCAAAAAAACCAATGGGGATTGGGTGGACATTGAAGAGGAGGTATTAGCAGAATTGGAAGGCCACTTCAAAAACATTTTCAAAACCTCTCACTCAATAACCCATGAAGATCTGATAAGCAGTGTATAATTGAGTGATATGGACAGAGAACAACTAGAAAAAGACATAACTGAGGAAGAGATAAAGGAGGCTTTGTTTCAAATGGCCCCAAGAAAGGCTCCAGGGCCGGATGGGTATCCAAATTTGTTTTTCCAAAAGTTTTGGGGAGTTGTTGGCCTTAACGTGGTTAAGGTAGTTAAACATTTCTTTGCTACTGGTAAAATGCTCAGAGAATTTAACGAAACCTACATTGCACTAATCCCTAAAATAAGGAATCCACAATCAACCTCTCATTATAGACCAGTAAGTTTATGTAACATAGTGTACAAAATCATAGCAAAGGTCATTATTAATAGAGTTAAGCCTTTATTGGGGAAATTGATGAGTGAGAATCAGAGTGCCTTCACTCCGGGATGATACATTCAAGACAATATCTTAGTAATTCATGAAATCATTGATTTTATGAGGAAAACTAGAGGCAAAGCCCCATGGATGGCCCTCAAATTAGATATGAGCAATGCTTATGATAGGGTAGAATGGACCTTCCTAGAGAGGGTATTGTTGAAGGTAGTGTTTGGTGCCAAGTGGGTTAACTGAGTGTTACAGTGTGTAACCATAGTCTCATATAGAGTGTTGATAAATGATTGCCCAAATAATAAATTATATCCGAAAAGGGGTTTAAGGCAAGGAAACCCCCTTTTCCCCTTATCTGTTCTTATTTTGTTCAGAAGCCTTGTCTGCTAAACTGATAGTGTTAGTGACCCAAAAGAAGATAATTGGCATTTCAATCACCAGAAACTATCCATTTATCTCTCTTTTTTTTTTTGCAGATGACAAATATATCTTCTCTAAAGCAGACCTTGGGGAGGGGCAGATTCTTTCGAATACTCTCAAGCTCTATGAAGAAGCCAATGGCCAAATTCCTTAAAATGGAAAAAGTGGATACTCCCTCTATATACTTGGGGCTATCTACAAGAATTGGTAAATCCAAAAAAGCCTTATTTATTTTCCTAATAGAAAGAGTGAAAAAATTATCTTCAAAGTGCCATGAATCTTTACTCTCTTAGGTAGGAAAAGAAATTCTGTTAAAGGCAGTGGCTAGTGCTATCCCAAACTATACCATGTCTTGTCTTTTTCTACACAAAGATGTCTGTAATGAATTAAAGAGGACTCAAACCAGGTTCTAGTAAAAGGGATCAAAAGATTCTAGAAAGACTTATTGGATAAGTTGGGAGGCAATGAATTAAAGAGGACTCAAACTAGGTTCTAGTAAGGGGGATCAAAAGATTCTAGAAAGACTTGTTGGATAAGTTGGGAGGCTCTCAGTAAAAACAAATTGGTGTGGGGGGGGGGGGGGTTTGGACTTCAGGGATTCATATAAATTTAGTTTAGCCTTACTAACAAAGCAGGCATGGAGGATTTGTATAAAGGAGGACAACCTTTGGGTTAAACTCATTAAGGCTAGGTATCTTAGGGGTAAGAATTTCTTAACTCCGAGGCTCCCTAAACAGGGATCCTGGGGTAAGCAGAGGAATCTGTTATTCTTCTTTCAATCAGTGGATTTCAACATGGCTTGATCATTGCATGAAAAAGAAAGATAGAAATGATGATTTGATTGTTTTTCCTTTTCTAATCCTATGGAATATTTGGAAATAGAGACATTTGAAAGTTTTTAAAAATGTTGATCTAGACCCGAGCTTGTTGTGTCTTACAAGATGTGGAGAGAGAGAATGAGGATTTCCCGAGCAGAATTGCAAAGTTCTTCTCATCTACCTCGAAATCCAAGACTGCTACCTGCATCTTTTTGGGTAGCTCAAGAGCCAGGTCAGCTTAAACTAAATGTTGATGGAAGTTTTTTGAGCCCTGGTTGTTCAGGGTATGGTGCTGTGTTGAGAGAGTCTATAGGAACTGTAGTAGCTGCATCTTTTGGTAAAACTACAGCTTCCACCCCCATCCAATCAGAAGCTATGACATTACTCAATAGTTTGAAGATTTTGAAATACTTTGACAAAGATACTATAAAAGTGGAATCAGATTGTTTTTCTCTAGTGAAAGCGCTGAGTTCTAAGAACTTTGACTTGGCGTTGGATGCTCACTTTCTGTGCGTGGATATTGCTGTGATTACTACTAGTTTTTCTGTATTTTTGTACATGTGAATAAACATTGTAACAGGGTAGCCCACATGCTGGCTAAATGAAGTTTAAAAGAGTCTAGGTGGATCCAAAGCCTGGCCAACCAAGACTTACATAGTCCTTATTTCCTTAATTTTGTTTTATGTTTGGATTTTGCTAATATATTTGATTGCTGTTTTAATAATAATAATAATAATAAACTGGGGTGGTAACGATGCTAGATAGAAGAGTTACAATTTGTCAAGGTTGGTTGGAGTAAGAGATGTA